ATTTGTGCGCCAACCTGTTTGACGGACACAGGGCACCGTGTCGGACGCACGCACGGCACGCACAGCTCATGCGATTCTACAACTGCATCTGACTATCGTCAGATGAGCTAATAAAGCAAGAATTTAACTTATCGTGAGCAGTGAATAAAGCGGAAGATTTTGAAAAAAGAAATCGTATATATGGAGAAATGCGTACCAAATTAACCGTCCGAGTTTTCAGTAAAAACTAGGAAAGGGCAGTTTCGCCAACAGCATGTATCCCCTGTGTTCCCCCAAGATGTGTAAGTATAACGAAGTTTGGTCCGCAGCTAGTCAATTAGGGGGCCGAGTTATAGAGCGGAAGGCAAATATGATGAAGGTCAAGGTCGAAGGTCAATGTCAAATAAAAGTTGGAGTGACCTGGTTTCGGTAGCGCAACACAACACCTTCTCCACAAGATGCGTAAGTAAACCAAGTTTTGGTCACCTAGGTCAATAGAGGCCGAGTTATAGAGTGAAGGAAATATGATTAAGGTCCAAGGTCAAGGTCAAATAAAAGGCAGTCAGTGACCTTATTTTTGGTAGCGCAACACACATTCTCCCAAGATGTGTAAAGTATAGACCAAGTTTTGGGTAAGCGGCTAGTCAATAGGGGCCGAAGTTATAGAGCTGGAAAGAAATATTATCAAGGTCAAGATTAAAGGTCGAGTGACCTGTTTTGGTACGGCGACAACACCTTCTCCCACAAGATGTGTAAGTAACCAAGTTTGGCAGCGCTAGGTCAATTTAGGGGCCGAGTTATACAGCGCAGAAGAGAAACATGATCAAGGTCAAAGGTAAAGGTCAATAAAGGTCGTAGTGACCTGGTTTGGTAGCGTCTAGGTCCATTAAGGGGCCGAGTTATAGACGATGTTGAAAAAGAAAGCCATGATCAAGGTCAAAGTAAAGAGTCAAATAAAGAGCGCAGTGACGCTGGTTTGGTACGCTGCTCACCTTTCCCCAAAGATTGTGTAAGTATAACCAAGTTTGGTAAGCGCTTAGGTTCAAATTTAGGGGCCCGAAGTTAGAGAGGCGGAAAAGGAAATATGATCAAGGTCAAGGTAAAAGGTCCAGTGACCGGTTTTGGTACTCTGCACACCTTCTCCCCTAAGATGTGTAAGTATAACAGAGCTTTGGGTCACCTAGTCAATTGAGTGTCGAGTTCATATGAGGCGGGAAGGGAAATTCTCTAGCGGCGGACGCGAGCGGGCGGCGGCTGGGGAAGACATGAAAACCATAGTATCCCCCGCTTCGTCGCGGGGGATACAATAATGTCACATTCTGAAAGCGCGTTACAGCCATTTTACAGTAGATGTAGACAACGTTCCTGTGAATATATTCAGTACGTATCAACTGTGTAAGTTTTACTTTCCCGACTAGGGGGCATTAAAAGTCTTCATTGTTAGGCAGGCAAGCCATTAGTGGTGTGGACTGTAAACCCAAGGTTATCAACCAAACTGGTTAGACGAGCAGTCTCGTTTCATAACCACGTCTCGACACATGTGGGCCTAAAGGCGTTACAAGAGACTGAATTTTGGAATCTCCGTGCGCATCTGAGATATTTCCAGAATGGCCATCAGAGACTAACTCAAGGGACTGGAACGGTGTCTTGAATGTTAGCGATGACATTCTCCGTGTAACGGTACGAAGCAACGAGGAGCAACGACAAAACGTCTGCCACGCCACACTTCCAGAGACTGCACACCTGTGGACCACTAATAAAGACAAGTGTCGATTTGGTCAGTCATCAGCTTGACATACCTTGGCTACAACCTTCAGCAGGGAAGGGGTCTCACCTGACCCAAAAAGTCTCAGATCAATTCAGAATGCTACTACCGGAGAATGCGACAGAAGTCGCGAATCTCTTTTTGGGCCTCGCTAATTACTGTGCAAGGTTTATACCCAAGCTTTGCGTCAATACTGCGCCCGGCCGGGAACTCGTCACCAGAAAAGACACTGATGGTCATGGACTCCGAGCAACCAGATGCCCTAAAGAGGTCTCAAATCCACTCTCAACGTCAGACGCTGTGATGGGCTATTTTGACCCAAAAAACAATCTGAGTGCTAGTAATGCCCAGCCCGTAGTGTTGCTGGCAGTTCTGACTCAAAAGTCGGGTGCCTAGATGACTTGTTATAAGCTATGCCAGTCCGCGCGCTGTCTTCAGTTGAACACGATCGATATTCCCAGACCGAAAGGGAGGCCACTTGCGAGTCGTGTTTGGCTGCGAAAAATTCCACCTGTACCTTTATGAAGTCACTTCAAATCATACCTACCGGATCATCGACCTCTCTTAGGGATTTTCAAACAACACCTAGATCTACACTCACCAGCCGTCGGATGCGAACGATGGTGTTGCGGCTTCAAACATATGAATATATGCTATCAGTAGCCGTCGCAAGCAAGGATTAAACCCAGCAGACTTTACCAGCCGACATCCTGGGAACAGTGCATCATGCAGCCGTGCAGAGATAATCGGTGAAGAGTACATTAACTTCCTGGCACAGGCAAGCACTCCTATTGCCTTGACCCTTGATGGGATCAGAGCAGCAACTGCTGGTGATAAGGAAATGCAAGATGTCATAAAGGCCATCAGATCAGATCGGTGGTCACCAGAGATCTCACAATACCAGAAGGTCAGAGGGGAGCTATCGGTTACAGCCGACCAAAGCCTAGTCCTCAGAGGACGACGCATAGTTCTCCCACAGTCATTGCGCCAGAGAGCAATAGAGCTTTCTCACGAAGGCCACCAGGGACTAGTTAAATCTAAGCAATTGCTCAGAGCGAAGGTGTGGTTCCCAAATGTGGACAAGCTAATGGCGGACCAAATAGAAAAATGCATAGCATGCCAGAGTAATATCACAACACCCCAGACTACGGTCCCTCTACAAATGACAGACTTACCGGATTACCCATGGCAGTCTGTCAGCGTTGACTTCTATGGTGAGCTACCATCAGGAGAACATCTTATGGTTTTAATAGATGATTTCTCCAGGTATCCAGTGGTTGAGATCATACACTCACTCACTGCTACGACTGTCATTCCTGTCCTTGACAGTGTTTTCTCAGTTCGGAACCCCAGAAAGGTTGAGGTCCGATAACGGCCCTCCCTTCAACAGTCAAGACTTTGCAGACTTCACTAAATATCTCGGTATAAAACACCATCGTGTAACTCCTTTGTGGCCACAGGCCAACGGGGAGGTAGAGAGGTTTATGCGGAACTTAGGAAAGGTGTCCAGAGCCGCAGCTGTTGAACATAAATCATGGAAACAGGAACTGTTCAAATACCTAAGAAATTATCGTGCTACACCACACTCCACAACAGGAGTCCCACCAGCAACAGTTATGTTCGGACGTGACATTCACATCAAGCTCCCATCAGTCGATGATGGAAAGGGCACCCCGGACAAAATCAACAGTGAAATCAGATCGAGAGATAGGGCTGCCAAAGCAAGGATGAAATCTTACTCAGACTCTAAACGGAGAGCGAAGGACTCCAATCTACATGTTGGAGACACTGTACTTGTGAGACAGAAGAAAGTCAACAAGCTGACACCTCCTTACAGTCCCAAACCTATGACTGTGATAATTGTCGAAGGAACAAAGGTGACAGCGGAGTGTGATGGACATCGTATAACGCGAAACGCGTCCTTCTTCAAAAAATTTCGTGGGGAGAAGGTAAAGGGGTCAGGGACACCCAATAAAAGACTCGTTCGTGATCTGGACTATGACGAAGTGGACATTGTAGATCCAGTTGCTCATAATGATCCAGCTCCGGTTGAGATTCAGCCTGCTCCAGTTAGACCTCAGCGCAGAGCCAGGCGGCCCGCATATCTGCAGGACTATGCTGTTTGATCCGTTTACAAGTGGACATTAATCAGAGTGAAAATTTGTCAGGGAAAACTGTCACTTAATTATATTGTTTAATTTCACCTAATATGTTCAATCCAGTTGTATTTTGGACATCAGTCATGCTACTTTCAGTTTCTTCAACATTAAGCAATTCTCTCGTTAATAGGGTTTTAAACATAAGTTAAAGGACTTTGTTTAACTTTCATTTGGTGTTTATTATTCCATTATATTAGACATTGGTTGTCAATCCAATAAGAAGGGGAGAGATGTGATATATTCAGTGTACAACTGTGTAGTTTTACGTTTCCCCGATAGGGGGCATTAAAAGTCTTCTTGTTAGCAGCAACCATTAGTGTGTGGCGTTGTTTGTCTCCGTGAGATAATATTCAAACATTACAGTTCCATTTCTGTAATAATACATTAGGAGAGTATGAATAGCGATGCCGGATTTGTAGATAAATAATTAAAAATCCAGTATTTATTGTCTGTAAAATATTAAATTTTCCCCCATTTTCTTCCTGAAAGTAGGGGGGATGAAAGCCACCCCACCTCAGTAAGTGTGGGGGGATATACCCCCATCACCTCGCTATCTACGCCCCTGTCAGATAAACTCAAATTTGACTTTTGATATGCATAGAAATATTCATAATCATAATCTTTGTTAGCAGTACGTACTCTACAGGTGCCGCGGAACGATTTTTGAAGTGGGGGTGCTCAATTTGTTACGCTCGACAGTGGCCAATGCAGGTTTTCGAGGAGGGTGGCAAGAAACAGGCGGAGTGTGCGGGTCCTACCCCAGAAAATTTTGAATCCCCCATTCTCCTCCTGAAAGTAGGGGGGGGATGATTGTACACGCCATCCCCCACGTCAATAAGTGGGGGGGGGGGTGCATCCCCCATCCCCACCCCCGCTATCTACGCCCCTGGGTGGGGGACTTGCTTGAAAAATTGACAATATTTATTTCTCTTCTCCCTTTGGAATTGACAGTAGGCTACTAATCATTTACGCTAAATTTCAATGGTTTTTTTGCTATGATTATTCAACCCTGAATGTACATGGATGCAACCCATATAGAATACTAGAATATATAAATAATAGAATGCTACTCTCTAGAGCTAACACGAAAATAAATGTATGAAAAAGTAGGAGTTTTCATTTCAGAATTCAGTATAAAACAGATGTCACACATAAACAAACAAAACACATATCGCCATTACAATTTGCTAAGAAAAATATATATGTTGCTGCTACCAAAAAGTTTCCTACTGCATATAGCAGCGCATCATGAAAAATATACGAAAATTTCACCCACTCTTTTTCGACTGTTCAATCTTGCTTTTCACTTTCTCCGTGCACAGAATACAAATCTATACTGAATCAAATCGCACAGATCGCGTGCACATGAGCCACTCGTGGTAATAACTAAGTCACAGGCATGATTATTGCATAGCTCTTCCCGACTGATAATCCAGGATGAACCCTCCTCAACATGGCTGTACAGCACAGCGATCACGTGATGATTTGAATAATGGTAAACGATTCGCTGTTATCCAATCCGATTCTGATGCTATACTATAATGGTATCCAGAGGATTTCTATACAGTACTGCACACTTAATGCACACACACGAAGAAATGGTCTAACTTATCAGCCAAGTACCCCATCACCTCCACACAGAAATTACTCGAAACACAGTCGCTTTTAAATTTAGAATCGATGACTATTGCCCATTGCTGTCACGATGGGTGTAGCATGGCCCTTCTACCACCAGGTAGCAAGTCTTCACCACGCCTCACTACTCAGCGACCTCTAGAGTAACCCCAACTCGTTCCTTGGGTTTTACTACGAAATATTAATATCCTTCTCAAGAAATATCCTTGAGATCCAATATCTTCCTCAATTTATATGCAGTAAGTTAGTTTTTTACACCTCAAAAATCATTATGCTTACTTTTCACTTCCTAATTCATAAATTACACTACCTATTTATTTAGAATGAGTACATTTCTAAGATTTATCTACACATCTTATAATATCAATTAATTATATTCATAAACAAACTGATCAATGTTTTGGTAAATTTCCTTGTAAACATAAAGTTCTAGATTATTTACTGCCTTTCTATCAAGTGAACTCAAATTTATAGATAAATTGCACTACACTCACTATATTCAGACTCACATATTCAGTTATTAAAACTATTCCCCATATAAAACTTGATCGTAAGTAATGGCAAGCAAATTCTGTGTTCTATCTACTCTGTTATATACTTTCACTGAACATGAGCAGGTCCCAGTGTCTAACGCATGAACAAGGCCACGACGGTAAAGCATATGCAGTTAAGAATATAGCAAATTAATGTATTTTGTTAACTGCAATGGCACTTTCACTGTGAACAGTGTTGCTAGAGTGAGAGTATTGCCATAAATTGCTATGACTAGTTGAGTTAAGTACTACGTCTACAACAGCACTTACCCAAATATGCCGCATTAATTATAGACGATTGCATGAGAATTCGTTACCTTTCCCCGCAATGAAAATTTTTTTAAATGGTATTACTATGATACTTATGTCAATATTTTCAGGAATACTGGGGACACGTATATTTGAATTGTTGTGAGCAGCGACACCAAGCATTGATAACACAGCACACCATTCACCCTGTGCAGAGTCACTACGCATTCAAAAACACACACGTGTATCCATCCACCCAACTTCTCACCCAGCTACGAGCATGCAGACTGCTGAGAGAAAGTGAAATGCCTCGTGGTGTCGGCTCCTTGTGCACCAGTGTTCAGCAGAGAATCCTGTTATAGCCCATAACCTGACAGAGAGGAAATCCATGATTCTGATCATAACTGCATTGATATCACCACCCACCCAAACACAACCATCAAAGCATGCACTAAACATCTCACTCATAAAAGATCACGCTGTCGAACCGCATCACTTTTAATTCAAGGCTAAGCATGCGTGATATACCAAGAGCTACACAATAGTAGAATTGGTATGCAACAATGATCGACTGACTATCAATAACAACTACCTAGAACTTGTCCTGTTGAGAAGGTGCTGAGGGTGCCACGCCACCGGGTAGAGATTCCTTCCCTTCAAATGGATTGCTGTTGTAAAATACAAATGCACCCGTGAGGTGCATGTATATGAACATATCGCATAGCCTTGTGCAATATTACACATTTAAAGCAGTCTGTGCAGAATTTTGTAGAAAGCCAATGATTTCACAAGATATTTGAAGGAAACAAACATTGATTAAGCATTGTATGCATGACTAAGAGATACCAAGTAGGACCACGGCACATACGCACCTCGAGTCAACACGGATAGTGACATTTTCCACTTCCTCCTCAGGTGGCGCTGTGGCTACAGCCATAGGTTCAGGCGAATCCAGCATCTGCTGCTTGGGATAACTTCCAGCCGGTGGATGAATGGCTGCCATAGGCGCTTGAATCTGCAAGCCATGCATGCGGTGCCACCGCGTAAGACGGCTAGTTTTGAAAATAATCGACGCGATATAAATACATAGCACTGGACTAAATAATACTTCAGAATGAACCAATGCATATAATATAATATATCAGCCCCTACATATTCATATTACCTTGCCATCAGCTTTGTCTAACGCATACTTGATCTTGTGCACCATGACGATAAGTCCAATAATGGCTACGATTATGGAAACGGCACCTATAGTCACCATTAATCCACCGACGATCTTTACTGTCCTGAAATCGTAGATAATGCATCATAACCTTCATAAATAAGAGACTTTCCAACAATATTAGACATTGCTGTAGAATATTTAAAGCGTTGGATACATACAAATGCTGACTGAAGTGAATGCAGTGATGCTATGAAGTGAAGTAAGGCAAATTAGCTACATAATGATGACCTGTACACCAATGAAAATAACACTCATACTACATTCTAGACGCATCATGGGCATTCCAAAGTTTTGAATAGAGTTTGTTCCAACAAGAGCCGAAGAGTGTCTGGGCTCATCTGAGGTCTGTTGCTACGGTTATAAACGTAACATTTAAATCGTGCGTAGTGACACCTTTGTTAGGTGCAGTTGCGTACACATCATTTCAGCAACCTTCTGCATTCTGCATACCTCCCAAATCCCATTGGTTGATACAAATCGCGTGCCTGAAACTCCTGTTTTATGGTGCATTGTGACCCTAACCAGGGCTCGAATTAAGCGACGAGAAAGGCAAGGCAATTTTTTTAGGGCATGTGAGAAATCGCCTTGAATTTTCTCTAAAATGGAAGGGCACAGAGGCAATTTTAAAAGGCACCAAGGCAACTCTCAAAATTTGAGAAGGGCACAAAGGCACTTTTGTAAAATAAAGAAAAACTCATAACAAATTAGTACATCAACATCGTCTTGCTTTGAATGTACAAAACAATATGCCCCCATGTAAGCTTACACCGTAACACCGACCCCTGTACCCCCCTCTGCTAATGGAAGTACAGTAATAAGAAATTTTACATGCCCGCTATCAGGAGCGAATAATTATCCGATGCTGTTATTATTCCCTCCTGCGACTATCGGTTTTAAGCTCATCATTGCAACTACAGCACGCACGCGCACGTGTTATGTTGACTCGACTAAAAACGAAACTAGGGCAGTAGATTAAAGGGCACCGACGGCAATTACACAAAAGGGCAAGGCAGGCTACTGCCGTCGGTCGGGTTGGATTTCCAGGAGCAGTACGGCGATTGATAGGGGCACGACGCATTGCGTCGGCGCCGTCGGTTAATTCGAGCCCTGACCCTAACCCTATTCAAAAAAATAATAATTGTTGTTATGAAATTGTTGTAAAAATTATTTGTTGTTATGAAATTGTTGTAAATAAATCATGTAAATATTTTCCTTAATTGGAAAGAAATAGTTAAGGACAGTAGCCTCTAGGTTCTAGGCGTTATTTTCAGCTAATTTAGGTTATAATTGTGCTACATAAAAAGTTCATGGTTGAATCACCATTAGAAATATTTAAAAAAAATGTTTAAAACTAACGACTACAGTTTGATTACAACGACGGTGCGCACTCAAAGCGCACGCATCTGAGAAGTTGGCGCAAAACACTTTCCAGCCAGGGCTACAGACCGAGGGTATTTCTTATTATTCATTTAAAAGCAAAGGGATTGTAAATATCTTATAAACAACATATAGTTTCAGTTATAATATGGATAAATTTGCCCTAAAATGAATATCGTTTCGTTAAATAGCATTTAGGTATAAATATAATTGCACTTTTGTGATTACCCTCGGTCATTTACTGCAAATAAAAATGCAAATACGCAACTTTTTCAGGGGGCAGCACGGGTCGCTGGTGTCATGGCGGCCGTTCAAATTCGTAGCGTTGATGTGTAAATAATTAATTAAGTATCTGGTGACAAATACATGTGGGTATAGACGATTTGTTGTACAGTAAGTACAGTTGTATGCAGTAAAATCCTAGAGGCTACTGTCCCTTTAAATGGATAAAGATAGAAAAATACAGAAAACAGGTAATAATAATAATAAATCTGATGAGATTCGATCCAAGAACCTTTGAGCCGTAATCCTGTGCTGTAGCCGTTTGGCTATCGAGGCATATTGGGTTTGCAGATTATGGATGTGCCATTAATATGAGAACACTGTGACATCATTGAGGCTGTTCAGGAATCCATGTTTAACCCTCCTCTTGAGGGTCAAAGTTATCAGACCTTACTGCTTAGCACGTAGGTAAAGCACATTTCATGGTCCTTTCAATAAAGTGATAAAAATGATAGCTCAGCGCTGAAACAAAAAAGTTTTTTCACTCGTGTCCATTAGGCCATGTCCTCAGAAAATGTCTAATATCTGACATTTCCCCCACTGCCTTTGACCTGTGACCTCCAATTTCGCACTGGTTGATTGGTTTCCTGCCATCACACTAGTACACCGAATATTAAGAGCATAGGTCGACCGTTAAGATTTGTGCCGCAATTCCGTATTTCCTCCTATAACTTAACGTTAAGGGGGAAATATTCCCCTCCGTTTACACATCTTGACCTTTGACCTTGACCCCCAAATTTATCATCCTGAGTACCTTTTCACGAATCCCAACCCCCGATCGTTCGAATATCGTGACCTTACATCGAGCGGTTAAGATGTTGTGCCCAACTGTTGACGGACGGTACGGACAATCATGCGATTCTACAAGCTGCATCTGACTTCGTCAGTTGAGCTAAACAAGTGCCGGCGGAGCGACAGGTCATCTAACGTCTACTGCGGTGACTCTGTGGTGGAGTGGTGGGATTCTAGTAAACCCTATTAGTCCCAAATGTGTTCACATACACGCGCGAAACAGTGGAATGCACAGGATGGTATCAGGAACCTTCTCAAAGGAATGTTCTTGTTGGTAGTCGTTATGAAAGTTGACACGAGATGCGCGCGTACGTTTAAGTGTCTTCAGATTAAAGATGGAAGCTCACCATCGTACGTAGTAGCAACAACTATTTGCAAGACAGAATAGGTAAGCACTCATCCATTTACCTAGCAAGCCTACAGGCGTGCATAGAGAGCTGCCACCTGTAACTAATTAAAGCAGAGAAAAAACTAACACAGTACTATTACCTCCCATGCACTGGCAGTGGCATAAGTGACATGTAACACATGACAGTACGAATGCATAGAAATTATACGATTTAAGGAGCATAAACCTTCTTCAACCAAATTTAGCTTTTGAATATTTCACTGTGACATTGTAGCTCACACATCCAGGCATGTATAGATTCTACTAGCAAACCCGGCAGTCAAATTCTTTCTAACAGACAGTAACACAATCATGTTTAACCCTGCCCTCTTGAGGTCAAAAGTTATCCGACACTACTCTTCGCATCCGTCAGCAGAAGGTACATTTCAATAGTCACTTTCAAATAAAGCATAAAAATGTAGTCACCGCTGAAACAAAAAGTTTTCCAAGTCGCTCCGCAGGGACCAATGTCCAGAATGTCTAAAATCTGCCCTGGCCTTGACCTTTGACCTGTGACGCTCCAATTTCGCAGCAGTAGATGGCTTGTCCTACCATGAGATCTATACACGACTATCACAAGCCTAGGTCGAGACCGATTTATAGATTTAGTGCCGCCATCTGCATTTCCTCCTATACCGTTAACGTTAAGGAGTGAAATGTTCCCCCCTTTTTTAACACCTCTTGCTACCTTTTTGACCCCAGGCTTCGACATCCCAACTCGTTTTCGGATTACCCCCCCACGTCCCGAATATCGTGACCGTACGTCGAGCGGTTAAGATTTGTGCCCAATACAACTGTTGACGGACGGACGGACGCTCGCACGGACGGACGGACGGACGATCATGCGATTCTACAAGCTGCATCTGACTATGTCAGATGAGCTAAAAATTGACATTCCAATCATTGAACAACTCACCAGAACAGCACCGCCAAAAAACATTTGTGCCCAACTGTTGACGCACGCACGGACGGCCGGACGGCCGGACGCACGGTCATGCGATTCTACAAGCTGCATCTGACTACGTCAGATGAGCTAAAAATTCATTTACAAGGACTTACTAGGAATTCGAAACACAACTGAAAAAAAGTGTGGTTTGGTTCCGATGCTGAGTTCAAAGGCTGTGATAGTAAATATACAAATAAATAATCGTGCATCTATTGGAAACATTATATGCATTGCTCATTCTGATGTGACTCCCTATACGTGCAGATATTTACTTTGTGCTTTCCTCATTTTGATCGAGCGCATTTAGTGCTACTGCAAGCATGATGGCCCCTATCAGAATGAGCAGAATCGCAAATCCTATGGAACAGCCTCCACATCGGATGCAGCATTTTGTACAGCCAGTCAGTCTTTTGTACATAAGCTTCAGTGGCTGGAAGCACATCTTGCAAGTGTTTTCTTCTGAAATTACATGCAAAACCAAAGGTTCGAAATACAACAAGTGACAATTTGTGCTATGCAAATTCTGGTGTATACATGGACAGAACGCATAAGCTTGAAATTGCAATAAAGTTGAAACAATTACACCCTTTCACTAACATATATATAGGATAACCACAAAATTTCAATAAGCTATTTATGGGTAGTCATATATAGTATTAACAGAGTGGCTATATGCCCGGCAGCCGGCATATATCTGACGGCTGCCGGGCACGGTCTTCGATTTCCTAAATGCCCGGCAGTTTTTAATTTTCAGCGTTATCTCAAGTAAACAAGGGTTAGGGTTAGGGTTAGGAACTGCCGGGGCATTTAGGAAATCGAAGACGTGCCCGGCTGCCGAGCATATATAGCCACAGCGTAGTATTAAACTATTATAGTGCGTTACCTCCTGCACACTGGCACTGCAGCAGCAGAGGAACAACGAGAGATGGAGAGAGACAAAGTTGATCAAATAGATAAATCAACACTGCAGATCGCAGCAGAAAAAGCTTCAAATTTGCAATTAACTGAAGAGGAAGGAACATCCATTGATCTAATACACTAACCCTGACCCCTGTCTTAAGTTCATTGAGACAAAATTGCCATTATGAGATTAATCTACACAATTTCTTCCAGACTTCATAGGCAGGGACTATTCTACGGAGCATTAAGTGCATTTCTGATTAACACAGACGTATCGTACATTGTTATTATTTTAAACACACCCCACGCAGTGCCCCGTGTCCTATCACAGTGAGTCACAAGTGCTGTGGGCCGTGCCCTGCCCATATTTGTCATTTGTGGACAGCGTAACTAACGCTCATAGGGTCTATGTCCCCCAGGGTACTGCCCGGAATGTATCCTGGGTACGGTCCGGTATACCGGAACGTACCTTGGTAACTATTTGATATCAGGAGTTAATAAAGACAAAGGAGTTTGACACGTATTTGGTACTGATTTCACCACATTTTGTCGTATGAGTTCGATGTGAATAAAAATATAAAATGTATACAAACATGAGCTTCTTTTGTTCACTGGTCCTTATTCTATCTTCCAGTAGTATTACAAACCGCATAGCTTCCTTCGTTTTGACAGAAATCGTGCTTTTGCACGACATGGTTTTCACGTTAGTTACCGTCGTGTGGCGATGCAAAGCCCGAAATTCGCACACACAGCTAGTTGAAAGAGGCGCGTCAGGGATGGCGTCTCCCGTACGTTATCTCCCGAAGAAGTTTTTGTTTGGCTAACAAAGCCAAGTGATGACGACATTAACTCTCGCCTTCATCACATACAGATGGTAATGATAAGTAAGGTGTAAACACATGCGTTTGCCTGCAATTGCATATTAATGGTTGCTATATGCAAAACACATGTGCGAAAAGCTACAATCAGCTGGAGCGTCAATTTACTCCTAAGATTCATACACATTATTCCTCCACGGCTGAAGTAGTTCAGATATTTTACCAGCGCAGCGTTTATTTAAAACAAGTGCCGCGGAGCGACAGCGCTCATCTAACGTCTACTGCGGTGACTCTGTGGTGGAGTGGTGGTGGGATCTAGTAAACCCTGTTAGTCCAAATGTGTTTCGAATACAACGCCGAAACAGTGGAAGGCACCAGGGATGGTATCAGAATTCAAGAGGAATGTTCGTAATGGATCAGTTATAAAGTCGAACGAGATGCACATAACGTTTAAGCTGTCCTTAAGAGTTAAGATGGAACTCCCGTCATACGTAGTACAACAACTTTTGCGCGCAGACAGGATAGGTAAGCACTCATGCCATTTACCATACGCAAGCTACAGGCTGAAAATAGAGAGCTGCCACTGTAAACTAATACCGGCAGGCAAAATACACAGTAATATCACCAACCACCAACATAGCAACTGGCAAGTGGCATGACGTTCCATGTAAACACACTAGACAGTAAGAATTCCATAGAAATTATAGATACGATTTTAAAGAGCATTAAACCTTCCCAACCAAATTTACT